TCCTGGGAGCTAGTTGGTCAACTAGCCTAGCCAAAACAGCAAGCTTTCCATGCAGTGAGAGACCCTGTCTTACAGGAATAAGAAACTAAGTGATAGAGGAAACCATCCAATGTCTTTCTCTAGCTTCTGGATGAGTGTGTGATGGCATTTGCACCTGCACACTCACGTGCACAACACACCCATATACCTATAATGCACATGGGGGAGGGAGAAAGAGAGAGACACACACTCAATGTACTCCTATTAATCAAACTTTGTAACTTACAATGCTGTGAGTAGTTTCTTCCAAGATACCGAGGCTTAATGGGAGCTCCACTGACAAGCCTCCCCAGGAGTACCACGCTACATCTTGCTCCAAAGTTCCATGTCTTCCCAACGCATGTTGCCTTCATGTCAAAGTAAAGTTGAAAACTCACAAGTCAAACCATCCAATGTCAAAGACATCTATCTGCACCACTCTTTGAAAACTAAAATAATAAAAACTGCATGTGACTGGGTGTGGTACAACCCAGGAGATAGAGACAAGAGGAGGGAAGGTTAATGACCAGTCTGGGCAAAGTAGTGAAAAACAAGCAAGTTTTTCAAAAACAAACAAGCTGGAGCTAAAAAGATTGCTCAGTGAGTGAAAGTGGTTGATATTCTTGCAGAGGACCTGTATTCAGGTCCTAGCACCTACATGGCGGCTCACAATCATCTGTAATTCCAGTTTCAGGGGATCTGATGATCTCTCCTGGCCTTCACAGGCACTAGGCACACATGTAGTTCACAGACATACATGCTGGCAAAACACTTAGACACATACAATTTAAAAATTAAACAAACAAACAAAACAGCATGTCAGAGGTGCAGGAGTCACAGAGAAGGATGTGGGAAAAGTATTTCAGGTCCCCTTCCTTCGTCCCAGCTGCCTGGCCACAAAGTCATGCTTCTAAAGTGGTCACAGTTCTGTGTCCCTACGGGATTTCCAGATACCTTCTGTGTACAGAGAAGCAAATATGTAATAGGGTTCTTTTCACCCAAACGTAATGCATTTCATTCGTGTGTATCTGGTCTTCTTCGTTCAGCATTTTGAAGAGCTTTCCATTTTTAACACAAATAAACTCTTTTAATGGCTGCATGAGATGCTAGAACAGTGGTTCTCAACCTATGGGTCGTGACCCCTTTAACAAACCTCTATCTTCAAAATATATTTGCGCTGCAATTCATAACAACAGCAAAATTGCAGTTATGAAGCAACAACAAAAATAATTTTATGGTTGGGGGTCACTGCAACCTGAGGCTCACAGCATTAGGAAGGTTGAGAACCATTGCTTTAGGAATGGACGTGTTGTGATGGGTTTACCAGTTCTCTCCAGTTGAACGTAAGATTGCCATTATCTTAAATCCCAAGCAGGCAGCAGAGAGACTCCATAGTCATCCCTGACTTTACTCACTTCCTCGTTTGGACCTCTTAGGAATCCTTGGAACTCCAAACTCTGGGACCGTGGGAGCCGGATGGAGCCGACATTTCTGGTCTCAGGATGGGCGGAGCAGGGAGACTTGTTGGCACCCACGGGTTGAGGTCTCCCAGAGCACAGGAAGCTTAGAAGGAAACAAACCCAGGGAAGTCATCAAGAGTCTTTGTGTCTTGAAATCGGCAGCCTCTCGAGCCATGCAGGAGTGTTCAACCTGCGTCCCATAGAAACACCTGGGGAATGTCTCCAATCTCAGAGCCAGACCACATTCAGGGTCCGTCTAATTAAACCGGAACCTCTGGGGGCAGCCCTGGGTCTCTGCTGTCTGACAGTATTGGAGTTATTTTCTTGCAACGCCACAAGAAACCACAGCACGGAAGCTTGGAAGTAATAACAGCACGGCCAGCCTGCGGCCTTTTATTTTCCTCTTCTTTTCAACCCGGTGAGAGAGAGCTCTGATGTCCCCACGGCCTACAAGCCAGAATGCATTTAACCACCCTGCCTACAAGATCAAGTATATGGAGCGGTTCTTATTTAATTCCTGGCTAAGTTTTTATTTGGTCACCTTTTTTGACTCTTATTCAAAATTGTTTATGTAAATTGGTAAGAAGCTTTTAGCAGGCAATTTGGCAATCTGTTTCAAGAGCCATAAAATGGCTCAGGATTGTTGGCTTAGATATTCCATTTTTGGAAGCTAGCCTAAAGAAATAACATAAATATGGAGAAAATGCTATACGTGTAAGATGTTCATTGTACCATTATTTATGTTAATTGAAAATTGTGGGAATGCAATGTCCAATGTTAACAGGAGTGGGTAAGCTGTAATACATCTATTTGGTAGAATATTAAGTAATCATCAACGTTACAGTCATGAAGACAAAGTAATAATATGGAAAATGCTTGCATTATAAAACGAAATGAAAACATAGGACCTAAGACTGTGTGAATTTACTATAATCTGAAGTACAGGCAGAAGAAACAAAATATAAAGGAAAACTCAGAGGAGCTAAATGCTCACGTAGATTATTCTAGGACAACAGGCTCTTCTTTGTCTGACTTTTATAGGTTTTATAGTATAGTGGTACAACTATTTAGGTGAAACAAACGGTAAAATAAATCTCCATATCTGCCTGAAACTGGGGATGCCTCAGTGATATTAAGATTACTATATGTAGTACCGAGGCCACTGTATGGCGCCCCATGTCTCAGGCTGCCCACAAAAGGCCTGTTAATAACGTTCCAAATCAGACTCTCTTTGGCCTTTGCTCCACCCTCATAGCACGGTGTCAAACAACTCATTCCTCCTTAGCTTGCTTTCTGTTTTCCTTTGATGACACTGGGAACCGAACCTTGGGTATGTAACAAAGGTGTTCTGCTTCTGAGATAAATCTCTGGGCCCCTGCTCCCGTCGTCCCTTTGATGGGAGAGGAGGGAAAGTGTTCTTGAAAGAGGGTCTCACTGTAGTGTGGGGCTGTCCCAGAACTCACTGTGTTAACCAGCACAAATTCTCAGCAATCCTCCGACTGAGCCTGCTGAAGGCTGGGATTGCAGGTGTGAGCCACCAGGCCCAGCTTACCCCTTCTTTCTAAACCTCACTTCCCTCATTTGATGCGTAGTGAACTGACTCACTGGGCGGAATTGCAGAAACCTTCCAGTACTAACATAGGAGACCACGATATTGATGGTGACTCTAGTGAACAACCAGTGTACTCAGATACCCTGACTGGGGGACTGAGGTAGCAATTCCCCGTTGGGCCATGTGTATGGGCAGGCGGCTTTTGCTCCTCGTTTCTTTTCGGAGCTGCTGCATCTCATCCTGTAAATCCTGAAAAGCAAAACTGAATGAGTGTGAGGCAAATCACACCTCTGGTGACTCCTCTAGGTGTCTCTCGCATGCAGCCCCGACAGTCCTGCTGAGATATGCGGGAGGGCCACTCTGCGGCCAAAGGGGAAATTCGGCTCCACCCCGCCCACTTTTCATCGTGATAAAGTGATTTTCCTCAACAGGCAGAGGGTGAAGAGTCATAAATCAGTGACAACACAGCTCCTTGGGGTCTGAGCAGCCCTCTGCTAGAGAGCGGTGGCTCTTCTGTGGATGCTCCATGCCTGGAGCTAGAGAATTACAGGGTTGTGGAGGGGAGGCCTGGGTGGTGAGAAGCAACGATAGCTCTAATGGGAAGGAAAATTGAAACCCCAGGGTTTAAAGAGAGCAATAAAGGTGGTGATGGGAGCTGAAGTCTGCAATCCACAGAGCTGCCTCCGTCATTGGGCAGCAGGCAGAGAGGGGCTAGGCTTAGTGCATTTTCCACATCACTGAAGTTAACTGTTGCTGTGCGGGGACCTGACCTTTGAAACCTATTAAAATGCGTTTTCATCATCATAAGTGTCTATGCGGGACGTAATTCAGTCCTTCAGGGAAAGGAACCGAGAGATTTCTCATTATATATTTATCTGAGTGATTATTTGTGTGATACTGGCATTCCCCGCTGCATTGTGTGATCAGTGAGGGCAAGGACGTTGTGCAAGCTCCACCAACTTGTCCGAGAAGGCACTTGAGGAGTGAAGAGGGGCCCCCGGCCGTAACACACTGAATTCGTTTGATCAGAAGCAATTTGCTAGGCTACACAGAAATGGAGCTGCACCCGAGGGTTGCAGTTTTGAGTGTGGGGAGTTATAGGACTGCGGATCGACCGGCTGGATTAGAGTCAGGAAGCCCAGGTGTCTCACCTCTGCTTTGGACTCTTCCCATCTTTTTCTCATTTTTGTTTTATTTTATTTTATTTATTTATTTGTTGTTGTTTGTTTGTTCACTTTTGTCTTTGTTTTTTCGAGACAAAACTTTCCTGTATAGCAGCCCAAGCTGCCTAGGAACTCACTTTGTAGACCAGGCTGGCCTCAAACTCACAGAGATCCGCCTGCCTCTGCCTCCTGGGATTAAAGGCGTGCACAATCACCACCAGGCAACTCTTCCCTTCTTATTGCCTTTCCATGCTGCCCACCGTCTCTGCTCTGCAGAACAGAGATGACTTCATCTTTCCTGCTGGTCCTCAGTGTCTGGAAAGAGACTCCCCTTTGTCCCCTGTTGTTTCAGCCTCTGTGCTCCCAAGGACAGGACTCCAGTCTGCATAAATCGGAACCAATCAGGTCCCAGCCCTGGAAACTATAGCGGTGTAGTGGAAGGAGTGCCCTGGATACAGACACTTTGTTGCCTTTACATATGACTAACCGCCTTGAGGGGCAGATGGGTCTCTGCAGACAGAAAGCAGGACGAGGAAGGCATGTGCATAGATAGCAAGGGGGAGGCAGGAGCAGAGGGTGACGTGGGCCTTGGCATCGGCATCCACAGTGGCAGCCGTGTCTTGGCACTACAGTAATGGCATCAGACAGGACGACCCATGGGACTGAGTGATCGGTGACCCCAGGAAACGCCTGTAAATTGCTCTTTTGGAAAAGCCCCAAAGTCAGCTTTGCGTTTGGCTATGTGTTTCTCTCCAGCAGAGCTGGGTGAAGGTCATGGCCTGCCTGCTCTTGGGGGCAATGTTCTGCAGGTTGCCTTTCTGCAAAATTAATCAGCGAATCAAAGGTCAGAGCTGCCTTCTCCCTGGCAATTGCTGTTCCTCCAGAGGAGCTTTTTCTTCTCCACTGTGGCAATGAGTCTTAACTCTTCCACAGCCTCGGGACCCACATCAGCTCCTGCTGTGCTTCTGCCCCTGGTGACTAGACTGGGAGCTCCTGTGCCTACCAAAATACCAGGTGTGTGTTACTTTTGCTCTTGCCAAGATGGTGCACAGATATATTTTGAGCCAATTTTATTGCATCACAGATAGCCTCTCTTCCTCAGCAAGGGACACGTGTCTTCATACATGATACTGGTCAGGATTTCCTCTGGTTCGTTTTAATGTTTGACTTTGAACAACCTCTCAGGCACAAACATTATTGAAAGCCCTATCTGTAATATTGTCACAAGACTAAATAAAAAAAAAATCCTCCATAGTGTCTACATGATAGAACAGCCAACTCATGACATTTGTTTTGTGATAATACTTCATATTCGGAATATTCCCCTGGTCCATAGGTCGGACTAGCGGAGTAGCTCAGAGCAGGCAGGCGGGAGAGGGAGGAGGGCAGGGAGATGAGAAGATGCTGTGAGGCCACAGCCTCAGGGAGCAGTTCATAATTATCTAAGTAATAAGCTGTTCTGCTTACCTAGAGAGGTTCACAGTTCTCAAATAATCATTTTGACAGGTTCAAAAGAATGTTAGACCCAGTTAGGAAAAGTATCCTTTGCACCTCACAACCAACCGTACAGATCTGAAAGAGTCCTTTGGGGAATATTCTAGAATACATTGGGAACTACCGAAGGCTTTCATAAAACAGTACAAACCATCAACAAAATGGTTCAAGAAATGAATAGACTTACCGCTAATTCATATAATGAGAAGCAAAGACCTAAGACAGTTTAGGAACTCTTCATTTTTTTTTTTTTGATTAACAGTGTCACTAAAGAGCAAGTTCTGTCCTGTCTTGTTTTTTCCCGTCTTCAGTTCACTAGCCTGCATTGCTCATAGCCAGCAAAAGCTGCACTATCTCTAGACACCACATCTTCAACACATCAGCTTCCAGAGACAGATAGTACGGTATTCTCTCTGTATCTTATTTAAGACTAAAAAAAATCTATTATGGTGTGGTGGTTTGAACTAGAATGCCCCCTCAGGTACATATATTTGAATGTTTGGTTTGCAGTTAGTGGAACTGTTTGGGAAAGATTAGGAGGTGTGGCCTTGTTGGAAGAGGTGTGTCCCTAGGGGTGGGCTTTGAGATTTTGAAAGTCCAAGTCATTGCCCATCCCAGTTAGTTAGCATGTTCTCTCTCTCTCCTCTCCTCTCCTCCTCTCTCTCTCTCTCTCTCTCTCTCTCTCTCTCTCTCTCTCTCCCTCTCTCTCCCTCTCTCCCTCCCTCTCTCTGGAATCTTTAGAAATGGGGCTTAGAGGGAGGAAGAGGAAGAAGGTTGCAATAATGCAGATCTTTAGAGCTATAGCTCACCCAGCTTCTGACTTAGCTTTCCAGACTTCTTGAGCCATGAGGTGGAACCAGCCCTTCAGCAAGCTGTCCCTGCAGGTGTGCTCCCAGGCACACACCAACAGCTGTCCTGGGCTGCATCCCTTTGAACTGCGAGTCAGAGCAAACCTCTCTCCTTGAAGCTGTCCTTTTCTACAATGTTTTGTCATAGATATAAGAAAAGTAAGTGTCCCATGTCCCTTGGAATAATCCACCAAGCAAATGGCTGTTACTGACTCTCTGAACGAAATTAAGTCAAGTGTCTTTCCCCAAAGTAATTACTAACAAACGAAGTAGTGTTTTGAATGAACTAAGATTGTTGATTAGGTTGGGGCAAACCACTCCTAAAATATAGATTCGTGTCTGAATAGTACACACCATTATACTAGCAAGGAGATAGTAGAGGAGGAGAGCTACTGGTCAGAGAAGCAAAATTTCCTGAAGCAGGAATAAATACATAGGTGTGTGTGAGAGAGAAAGGGGGGGGGAAGAGTGTGTGTGTGTGTGTGTGTGTGTGTGCGCGTGTGTGTGTGCTTGATACAGGGAATTGAACTTAACGCCTCACACATTGGAGCTAAATATGATACTACCAAGCTAAATTTCCAGCCCTCAGTACAGAACTCTTGATTCTAATCTATTTTATTCTGTTTGAACTCCAGGACATTTGATTCACTGACTTCTACTGAGATAAACATCATTAAGCCAGACATAATAAAAACCCAGTTTCAATACATAAAACTGCTCAAGAGAGACAGTAGACAACGAAGAGTTTCTGGAAGGAGCTACAAAATTGGTCCATAGCCTCGGGATGAAGTGACTTTTTTTTTTTTTTATGAACTCCACCTAACTGTGTCCTACATGGAAACACTACAGCAGAATTTCGGGAGCTCAGGTTCCATCAACTGCATGTGATGTTCACTTGGCACCCGGTCGCAGAGAGAATGACCACATGCTATTAGAAGGAAAAATGCATGTATCTTTACCTGATACATCTGACTGTCTATCTGTCCACCTTTTGTAACTGTCCCTCCACGGGAGCTGTGATGTGCTCCGTGACACTTCTGTTAGAGGAGTGCAGGACTCCCTCCCCAGGGATAACGTTTGTCGCATCGCCAGCTCTGTTCTGCCACATATGTTTTCCCTCTGGTTTGACAAACAGGATCTCTCTATTGCAAGGAGCAAAAGCCACTTACAGCTAATGCATGAAGAAAGGGAATGTTTTTGGAGTAACCATAGAATCAAGGTACGTTCCGTGGTTCTGGGCACAGGAATTAATGGGAATAATTAATTCTGTGTGATGATACCCCTGCTGTCAGGGTTCATGAGTCTGGTAAGAAATTCTGATTGGCTGAGCTTAGATACAGGACTCTCCTTTCAGCCACACGTGAGAGAGAATGGCCAAGTTGAACTGAACGTACAATAAGGGCAGTTATTCCTTGGTTGAAATTGGGATCCACTATCAGCGTGGGGTAGTTGTTTGGTAGACAGATACTCCCCACCACACCCTCTCACCCTCAACCTATACTGCCCACCCCCAACTCTACCCCCACCCCAGCAAAACAACAGCAAAGCAATGGCTGCTGGAATTGGGAGCCATCCACAACACATTGAGCAAGCACAGACTCAGAGAATGCAATAATAAAACATTTATTTTTTTCTCATGTCTTTCTAAACTTACTTGATGGAGCTGACAATGGTGATACATCCCTGTGGTCTTGGCACTTAGGAGACTGAGGCAGGAGGATTATGAGAAGGGCTAGACTAGACTATATAGCCAGTCCTAGTCTCAAAAAAAAATCAACCAGTAATAAACTAATAATTAGAAAAACCTGCTCGTTGGAAGAAATCTACGGTCCTGTTTCAGAATGTCAAACTCTACTCATTTCTCCTTAACAAAACAGCCTATAATCACCCTAAGGTGCAAGCCCAATCCAAGCTCAGTCAGAATTACAGCAGGTAATCCTGTTAGCGTTTTTTTGCTCCTCATTCAAAGATGGCTCCTCCTCCATTCCCCAAGTGGGATGAGCCAGGCAGCAAGCTGTCTGCCTTGGCTCCTTCCACAAAAGGAAAGAATGGAAGGAAGGAGAGAGTGTGTATTTGACTAGTACTGTCCTAAAATGGCCTTGGATTCTCGTAACACAATGGGTACTCAAACCTGGCTCTCTTGTGGACACCGTCATGCACTTGAAACCATTTTTATTTTTCACTAACGTGTAATAATTGTATATATGTGTGAGACAAAGAGTGAGTGCCACACACACCCTATTTAAAGTGTAACGATCGAATCAGAGTAATGGCCATAGCCACCTTCTCAGCCAGTGCTCATTCCTTACTGCACACACTCCAGTCCTCCCTTCCAGCTGTTTTGTAGACCCTTGAATGTTTTAATGGCGCTGGTACTCACTTGTGCTCACAGTGGATTCTCGGTATTTGTTAAGACATCGTAGCCTCTCTGCTTGACTATCAGCTTGTTTCGACTCATGGCTGATTAGAATTTGTTCGTTTACTCTTTTGAAAGGGTTCCGTTTAGTTCTCAACAGTCATCCTCCTGCCTGTTTCCCAAGTGCTGTGATTGCAGATGTGCATGGCGACATCCAGCTCTCCCAGCTATGTGAAAAAGTCACCCTACTGTGCTAAGGAATACTAGGGTGTGCTCCACTTATTAACCCGTGACAACCCAGTGCCCAATAAGCACCCTTTCTCTATTCCCTCCTTTCCCTTACCTTTCCCAGCCTACCCACTCTCTACGCCTGTGCTACCAACTTTTTAAACTTTTGCACATGACTGATATCACTCCGTCTGGGGCTGGTTTATTTCACCTAACATGATGCCCTACAGTCTCATCCATGTTGCTGCAAATGACAGTCATTTACTCTTCTCACGGTCGCATGGTAGTCCACCAAGTATGTACATCACATTTTCTTTATCCACCCCTTGGTTGATGGTCACTTTTGTTGCTTTCATATCTTGGCTATTGGAGTAACGTTGCAGTGAGCGTGGCAATGAGAATGCCTTTTGACATGCCAATGTCGCATCCATAGGCTGGACACCTGTGAGTGTGATGGATGCATCATATGGTTGTTTATTTTTCGAGGAATGTCCATCTGGCTTTCCGTGATGGCTTTACTAAGTCTGCTGGTGTGTGTGAGTTGTGTCTCTCCATCTTTGCTGTCGGTTCTTGGTTTTTGTCCTTTTGATGGCTATTGTTCTTACTGAGGTGACGTGATACCTCGCCGCAGTTTTGCTTTGCTTTCCCTGGATGGTTAGCGGTGCTTAGCATTTTCCATCTACCTGTTGGCCATTTGTGTGTTTTCTTTCGATGATACCTATTCTGATCGTTTGCCCATTGTTTAATTGGATTGTTTGCTTTCTAACTGTTGAGATGTTTGAGTTGCTTATATATTCTAGGTATTAATCCCTTGCTGGATGAACCGTTTGCAAATATTTCCTCCTGTTCTGTGGGCTGTGTCTTCGCTCTGCGATCATTCCCTTCGCTGTGAAGAAACTTTGTCATTTGATGTAAGCTCATTTGTCTGCTCTGACTCTTGTCGCTTGTGTTCTTTGGGTCATATCAAAATCAGCTTTGCCCATTCCGGTGTTCTGAAATGTCCCCCGTGTCTCCTTCGCTGTGATTCCCCTGCTATGTCTTGGACCACAGCACCTTCAGGCTCCTGCTCACCACTCCTGTTCTCCAACTGTAAGTGATAGCACATTGACTTTTCTGAGAGATCCTAATGACCGCCTCTTCCTAGGCTTAAGCTGAGCATAGGTAATAATGGAGAGTGTGTGTGCACATGTGTGTTCCTGTGTGTTCCTGTGTGTGTGTGTGTGTGTGTGTGGTGTGTGTGTGCATATGTGTGTGAAAGACACACACACACATACACAGAGAGAGAGAGAGAGAGAGACTGACTCTTGGCACAACTATCCCTAAAGAAATCATCTTAAGGGCTGCACAGACAGCTCAGCAGTTAGGAGCACTGACTGCTCTTCCAGAAGACCAAGGTTCAGTTCCCAGCATGGAAGCTCATACTTGTCTGTAATTTCAGTTCCAGAGGACCTGACACCCTCATACAGATATATATGTGGGTAAAAACACCAATGCACACGAAATAAAAATAAATAAATAAATATTTAATTAATTTAATTTTTTGCTTTTGTTTTTTTATAAATAATTTTTTTAAATCATCTTAAAATAATTCTCTCTTTCCAATTGGTATTCACTTTTGTATCCCATAGGATGGAAACAGTTCAAGAACTGCAGGCTTTTAGAAACATTTTGGTCAATAAATGACAATAGTTTTTTTATTCATTCTTTATTTCTTTAATTTTAAATGAGAATATACATTTTTCAAATGTCTCATCAATGCGTGCAATAATAAAAATGACTGATGGAGTTCTGGGCTGGGGATGTGGCTCAGTAAGAGAGCACCAGCCTAACACAGGCAAGACCCTGGGTTCTGTTCCCAGCGTAGTAAACAACATCAAAGCAAATCAAAAGTAAACACAGTAGGTGCATATGACAGCTCCTTAATCCTCCCGTGAATCCTCTGTTACAAGTATCATCATTATTATGAGTGTCGTCATCACTATTATTACTATCATCTCACTTGCCAGATGAGCCCCAGAAGGATAAATTGAGGTGTCCAAGGTGACCAGTAGTGGGTGTGGCTCCCGCCAGGGTCTTCCTTCTTCTCTGTTCATTTGACATTGCCTTGATGCCTTCTCTCCGTTTTTCCTTCCTCTCCTCTCCCTCTTCTTGTAGTCTTCATTTTATTTAGGGAGAACTACAGTTTTACTAGCTATTGTCCACCTGTTCAGTTCAGTTCTGCCTACACACATAGTAACGAATATTCAGCAAATGCTGAACAGACAACGGCAAGGGGCAAGACTCAAATGTAACTCTGCCTGAGTCCCGAAAGAGGCTTATCTGATAGAGAAGTAACGACTAACACCCCCATAGGGCAAATGATGTTTCAGGCATCCTCACAGTTCTCTTGCTATAGTTCTTGATCTCAGGTTAAATGATGTGCCCAAGGTCACACAGCTGAGATGGGGTGGAAGAGAGAAGAGAAAAATACGGACTTACAGCGTGGAAGTCAGCCAGCTCCCAAGTGTGTGCTATGTGCCCTTTTCTCTGCAGCGTCATTACTGTCCCAGATTTGAAGCATTCTCAGCATAAGAAGGAGCTTTCGGCTTCTGTTCAGCTTCTTCTCAGGCCTCCTGAAGCTGGGTGCTCTTAGGAGTCTCTCTGGTTAACTGAAGTGTTACTATAGCAACAACAACACTGAAAACCAGAATAGGATTTCACACCCACAGACTCAGGTGTACAAACATGTAACTTTATTTTCTTATAACTCAAGTTAACTTTTGACCTCAGGCCTTTATTCTGCCTAATCCAAGAAATGTTATTCCAGGCACACTTAAGCATAGTCAACAAAATTCAGTCTTTCTCAGATCATTTTGATTTAAATGTTACTAGCTCGGGATGGTCTCACCTTTCCAAGAATGGGGTCATAAGATGCTGGGTGGTATCAGGCTAAAGTTCTTTGGACCTTAGAGGCTGGCTGTGGTGGATTGTAAGAAAATGACCCTCAAAGGGAGTGACACTATTAAGAGGAGTGACTTTGTTGAAGTAGATAGAGCCTTGTTGGAGGAAGTGTATCACTGTAGGGGCAGGCTTTGAGGTCTCTATTGCTCAAGCTTCTCTCAGTGCAGGATTCAGACCACTTCCTGTCGCCCATGGGATCAAAATGCAGCTTCTTTTCCATTCTCAACTCTTTCTCCAGTACCGTGTCTGTTTGCATTCTACCATGTCCCACAATGATGATAATGGACTTAACCTCTGAACTGGTAAGCCATCAGTTAAATGTTTTTTAAACTTTATAAGAGTTTCCATGGCCATGGTGTCCCTTCATAACAATGGAACACTGACTAAGACAGTGATGTACAGGATGCCCTTAAATGGAGCCTTCACTGTCCTGGTGCTGAGTTGTGGTCATATCCCAACAGGATTCCTTGTGGGGACAGTCCTTACCACATTTCTCTTGGTTTTATCTTCTCATCCATCCTAATCTGAGCTCTGACTTTTTCCTCAGTTTTCTTGCTCAATTCATAAGCATAAGGAGTACCTCCCATACCACTCTTGGAGTGGAAAATACCCAGAAGTGCTTTCTATCTCCTTGACTTTAGACCAAAGTAAGATAGAAAAGAAGGAAATCATTATTCAAGATCTGAAACACTGGGCCAAGGAGATGGTTCAGTGTGTAAAGGTGCCTGCCACCAAGACTGATGACCAGAGTTCAATCCCTATGACCCCCACAACAAAAGGAAAGAACCAATTCCAGTAAGCTGTCACATTTGTGACCTCCACAAATGTGGTATGGCATAAAAATGGATAAATAATCATAATCTTTTTTTAAAGGTCTCAAGTATTGCTTTGTGTGATGGTTAGCCACTTCACTAGATTGAAAGATACCTAGGGGATTAATGAAGCACACTTCTGGGTCTGTCTGTGGTAGCATTTTCACAGAGAGCTTATCTACAGAACAGTGACTGACAGGTGAAAGCCTGGTCTAACTGTAGATGGCACCATGAAATGTAAGTGGAGTTCTTCTGTGCTGTCTCACCTGCTCCCAAATTCCTGGTGGCAGCTTCCCAAATAATTGCCTCAGAGGCTTAATATTACTTATAAATGCTTTGCTGATAGCTCA